CTTGGAGCAGCCTAGGCTGGTGGGAGGTGTCCCTGCCCATGCAAGGGGGTTGGATCTAGATGATCTTGAAGGTCCCTTCCAACCCAAACCATTCCATGATTCTATCTCTGACCGAGGAAAAGCGTTAAACTTCTTGGAAAATGTACCAACAGGGTGAAGAGCACAGGAATGCAGTCTGCATTCAGGCAGGAGCTTAATATTCAGGAAGGAGTGAGAGGCAACATGCAGAACAGAGAAGCTACGAAGGTCACAAAGAAGACAACAAACAGGCACTGCCTGGTGGTGCGGATGAAGCAGGTAGTTTCAGTGAGAATGCGTGAGCAACATGCAAGAAAAGCAATCCTGGCAGCTGAATATGTAAGATGCTGCATTTGTCTGTCAGAAAAAGGATGTGAAGTGATTAAAGGCTGTGAGTTTCAGCTGTGCACACCAACAGGAATGACTGTCTTACAGCTACAATGCAGAAGACACTGGCAAGACAAAGGTGTGAGTTGTGGCTCAGGGACACCCAGCCAGCTGGTGTAAGGGATGGGGAGGAGTGTGGTAGCATTAGCAGTGCCTCTTTCTTTGGGTAGCCTTAATATAATTTGATAAGCCCAAATTTTAGGTCCTTCTCAGTATCAAACTGGGCCCATAAAATTCCTAATTATCTTGAAAATCTGGGGGGGTGGGGCTCTGCTGAATTTTAAAACACAATCACTCAAAATCAGTTCTGCTGCTTTAGAGCCTGCATAAAGGAACAGCAACTCAAAACTGAGAAAGCAAACTGAAGCAGAGAAATAAGAGAGAAAAAGGGAAGTGATAAATACTTCAATTACCTTTGCAATGTTTTTATGCTCATCCTGACAACCATTTTGGATAGCTCCTTCATCTGTGGTGATATCAGGGTGGGGAGCAAGGGTGGTGCTACACGAAGGGCAAGGCTGCAAAAAGGCCAAAAAAATTTATCCAGGAAGGTTCTGGTGTCCTCATTGTATAATGCAATTTATAATTCTGTCCCCTTGTATACTTGCAGCCTGGTTAAAAGATAAACAAAGCTACAGAAATGGGAAGCAGGGAGCAAAATTTGACTGGAACAGAATGCACCATTTCAAAAATAAATCAGATTTTCTGTTTACTGGAGCTAAATCTAATCCAGGAAAGCTTTAGTAGTGTAAGATCACAGATATTCTGTAATCATGGCATTCTAGCAAAGGACCTCCCCAAGAAGAATGAAACACTGTTTAGTGAGAGAAGTGCAATGTTCTTGTTTAAACACTGCCTGCAAAGGGACCTGAATGGCTTCTGAGAGAAAAGATAACACAAAATGCAGCAAAATTCCAAAAACCACAAAACACCACGATGCATCATGAACTGTACAGGGAAATGGAAAGCAACAAATCTGAAACTAATAATGGGAAATAGTTTTCATGTAGTGCTCCAAGACAGCAGAGTGGAGCTCAGGCTCTCTTACATTGTTTAAGCCAAATAGCCAGCAAATGTCACAGGAAACAAGTAAAACATCAGGACTTGACCTACATGCAGGTGATGCATTTTGGAAGCAACCTAATATGTCACATATCAGCTTTTAATACAACCTGACCCCTTTGAGTTCTAATGTGATCTTATGGGGAATTAACACCATATCTGTGTTTTTCAAGTTCCCCATACTTTTCTCTAGTCCTGGGAGCACAGAGACAGGGTCCTGCATCAGAGGGACCCCTGTGTCTGAGCCCTGTTGGCAATTGCTTTGCTCTGGAGGTGATTTACTGATACCAGGCTTGCCAGAAGTCTACTAACAAGTACAGAGACCAGTCCTAAATTTGGCACAATATACACTAAATGGTGGTGATTCACTGAACATCTTAATACGTTTTCCAACAAGCAACTTGAGCCCTTTGTCCAAAACTCAATGCCCCAAGTCCATTTTATCTGTTTATTTTGGACTCAGGAGGGATTCATTCAAGCCTTTGTAGTCCATCATTCGCCTGCTCCAAGACCACAACAACTTCTGCCTTCAGGTTCACCCCCAATTTCAGAGACCAGTCTTTTCAGAACTGACTTCTCAATCAAACCCCCTTTTCTGTCTCTGGTGTTGCATCTTGAATAATGTGGCATGTTTAATTTTCAGGTTGTTCTGGCATGGCATTTCTCCTAGCCCCACTCCTCCTGTGACTGCTGATCCACCTAATCACTCCAAGGTTTTCAGAGAGACTCTGAGCCTTGTCAGGAGCCACCAGACCATCAGATCTGCTACTCCAGTTTGGGGCACTGAAATTACTGTGAGTTTCCTAACCTGGCATCAGATAAACAAGTTACATCCAGTTCTGAGCCTGTACAGTCTGCACAAATATCAGCACACTTGAAACTATGAAGTTGGTTTTCAAATGGTTTTGTTTAAAAATAATCGGTGACTAAACCACAGAATCATCATAGAATCATAGAATGGTTTGGGTTGGAAGGGACCTTAAAGATCATCCAGTTCCAACCTCCTGCATGGGCAGGGACACTTCCCTCTAGATCAGGCTGCTCATAGTCCCCTCCAACCTGCTTGGGAATGCCTTGGCCATGTCGTGGAAGGCAATATTAGACAATGGGCTAACAAGCCATGGATCTAACCATGGCAGAAGTCTCTTAATGGTTATAAAATCCAAACACCTCTAACAAAAACAAAGAAAATACGCCCTGCTTGATCTTGATAATAAAACCAGCAAGACCACCTCAAACACTCAGCTCCTGGGGTTAAAGCAGAAGGCAAAAATCCCAGAAAAGCAGCCCGACCTTTTGAGCAGAGGCAGAAGTCCATCTGACTTACCCCATGTGCTCAAGTCAACATCATTAACTTCCCTCTCTATTGTAGGCATTCACACCAGCTCAGTGCCTGTCTGACCTCAGCGTGATGAATAATACATTAATGCACTTCCAGCCAGCAACAAGACAAGCAAAAGTGCTTTCTGTTCTCATACCAAGAGATGATTAAAACATTTTTACAATAGCTTATGATTCCCTGTCAAGTCAGGGATGTTATAAAGCATGATAGGGAAAATAAACTGATACCAAAACCGGTTAAGCAAGTTAGTGTTTTCATTCAGAAAAATCAGCTGCTGTTGTAGATTTACTTATAGTTTATAGCCTCTGTCTTCACCATTTTAATTATGTACATGCATTTTATTGATAGCAGCACTGCAAAAAGGCTCAGAATTAAATGAACTGCAGATACACTGGAGAAGAGGAGGAAATACAATCCCTTTCATGGATCAATTACTGTTGCATTCTCCTTCCTGACTTTCCCTAACAGATCCTGTCCATTAGAACACCCATTCAAGCTCAAAATGTGAATGTCATTCTTCACATCCAATATGGCCCCTTACTCCCTTTAAAACAAAAATATTCCAACTTGCCTGGAATTTTGCCCCTCCTACTGAAGTCTCTTTTGCAGAGCTGGAGTAATCTCCTCCTACTCTGACACTGTTTACAGCTTTGTATTTAAAACAGTTGGCATGTAAGACATGATTCTTTTGCAAATTATTGTCTCCAGACCCCACCAACAAGCTGCAAGCTTTTTAAAAGAAAAAAACAAAACACACACAAAACCCCACACTGTAAAAAAGAAACCCACTCCTTTGAAAACAACTGTGGATGTTCTGTGATTAAATTGCACAGTTGTTCTTTGTGGGGATTTTTATGCATATTTATGTATGTATGTGTATATATGTAAATTTTTAAAAACACAGGCCTACTCTAGCATGTCTGGCAAGTTAAATATTCCTTAAAAGCTTGACCCAGCTTTCTTGGTCTGCAACCACTCCAACAACAGAGCACCCAGCAGAGAGAAAGAAGGGTTGTGCACACCTACCCTGGGAAGCTGTGGAGACTGGAATACCTGCACCTGGGAGAAGCAGGCAGGCTTTGCACACCTGTGCTGCAACTACAGTGGCAGAACATGTTTGTAAGCAAGTGCTCAGCATTCCCAGGAGTGCTCCATCTTTGTGCTACAAGCATTCAGACAGGCTTTGTGGCAGGGATTATGTGGATGTCTTAGCAGACTGCTGGGAAAGCTGTCTTTGGGGTCATTCAAAAGTCACTCCAGCATCAGTGTATCTTGGGCAAGGCAGGCACGTAGTTTTCTATGAGTTGTGAGGCTGTACTGGAAATCACTGGCCAGAGCTGCAGTGCTCCTGGTGATGAATAAAAGCTATAAGCATGAACTTGATGCAGCAGCTTTAGCACAACAGTGTATAGGGTATCCAAGAAGGCTGAAACTGAGCTGGTACTTGTCCTGAGATGCTCGTCTGAAGCAGCTTCTTTCAGCTTCTCCTTCACTTACTCAGAAAGCCACATGAACACTTTTGCACCCTGCAGACCATCGTTCAGCATCTACATGGCAATTAACACCCAGCCAAGATGGTCCCAGAACAGAAAAATCAGGAACTGGGCAGTAAAGAAAGCACCAAGGGCCAGCAGCAGGGCTCCACATTGGGTATTGGCTGCTAAGGAGCAGTGGTGCATCTGATTCTACCCTTCTGCAGGGTAGTTGCTCCGTGGTTTAGAGAAAACACCACAGCTGAGCCTTAACAACAGACTTCATTTGGGACTTGAGTCATTAACAGCACGTGCCACAAGTTAATACATAACAAGTGTTATCAAATCCTGGCTGCAGGCAGGACAGTCCTGTAGCTCACTCTGGTGTCCCAGTCCCCAGGTACAGCCTGCTTTGCTGCCTGACAGCAACCTGTCAGCCTCTCAGAACAGCACCTTTAGTTTTACTGCTTCAATCCCTCCTCTCTCTGCTCTGCTCCACAGAGAGGCAGCTCAGTAATGCTGCTCTACTTGGTACATTCTTCCTTGAGAATGTGAAATAGAGGAGCTTCTACCCCTTGCTGTCATAGCTGTACCTCTGCTTGGCCACCCGGTGGGAGCACAGACGTGTTTACTTGTACAGACACCCACCAACTGCTCCAAGGTGAACTTTCCCACCTTATTTGTTAGTTGAAAGACAAGAGAGAGCTGAAATGCTGGTGCCTGAAGGATGCCAAATAAATTCATTCTTACACAGAAGGAATAGAAAAGTATCACCAGCAACTTCGATCCAGTCAAGCCACATACAGGGCACATTTTGAGGAGGGATAAAGATGACTACAGATACCTCCTGCAGTTACACAGTCCTGGCTTGTTCTGTGAGGAGCTCCCTTAACTTTGAACCATATCTTTGGGCCAGCCTTCAGCTGATCTCACATGTGATCCAGGGCTTTTACTCCAAAAGTTAAAACCAGGCACAGAAGCAAGATAAAGGTGCTCAACTCAGGGTCTCCTCATAAAGATGACAAACATACAAACATCTAAAATGGACCAGGATGAAAGTCACCCCATCAACTCAATCCCAAACCTGTGATGGGGAGATCCTCTCAGGACTAAACACACTGAAGTCTACTAACAGTGACCTGCAGATGACCCACCACCCCTGGCTCTGCCACTCATGCCCAACTCAGGCAACCCAGGACAAGGAAAACTCTTGGCACAAATGAAAACAGAGAATAGACATCTGTTGTTTGGGAAATCTGTTCTCTGGGAGATGGAGAGTAACAGCAAAGCTTTGAAGCAATACACATTGTTTCACAGATTTCCTTGTCAAGAGATCTTGTGAGAGGTGTGAACATAACAAGATGGCATCATTTCTCTAAGCTGAATCCATACACATAATTTGAATCAGTTCTAGATACCCGTTTCTAGAGAAAGCAGATAAATCAGTCTCATGGCCTGCTGGAGCAAACCACACAAACAATCCTGTTATCTTTTTGTGGGGATGTCTGTTCCTCATATGGAAAGGTTCCCAGGTACATGATCTGCACGACAGAAGGATGACAGAAACAGGCTGCAGCAGAAGCAGAAACAGGAGTTACAGGAGCTGCTGAAATCACATTCTTTATTCCCCTATAAAAATCAAGACTGTAAAAAAAGCAGCACTGACCTCTCAGACCTGAAATATTAAAAATATTTATTTTAAACCACCCTTAAAAATGTTCACTTTACTTTAGGGATTGCTTGTCAACTGCTGAGGTATTTCACTTGGTAAATTTTTTTGGTCCCTCAAACTGTTTTGTCACTGTCTGTACATACATAAATATACGCATAAATATATACACAAATACACAAAGCAGTGCATAAACAAGCCTGTAAGCTTTCCCCAGCCATACATCTTGCCCTGGTTTGCACAGGCTGAAATCTAGGCTGCTTGGCTTTGAACCAAGAACTCACCTTAGATTTTTCCACATATTTGAGGCTCTTTATGTCACTGATGCTCTCTGCTGATGAGGTTTTCTGCATCCCAGCTCCATCTGTGGGCTCCAAGCCAGGCTGCAAAGCTTGGGAACAGCTGCAGTGGGGCTCCTTCACCTTGTGACCAGAGATCAGATAGGTCTTCAATCCTACAGAAGAAAGAAATTAAGTCAGAGCTGCAGAAAGACAAAAAAGAATACTCCTTTGGGCTTCTCAGCTATGAAACACAGGCACTGTCAAAGTGCTATCAAGGCTTGGGAATACAGCAACAACAACAAAAAAAAGAAAACAACAAACAGCTGCTGGGAACAACCACCAGGAATATAAAGATGCTCTATGTAAAGTGGTGGCAATTAGGATCACCCAACATCTGCTGTCCCAGACTCAAGAGACTCCTTTAACACACAGCAACAGCCAGCACTGACACATCCTTCCTTTATTCCATTTTCACTCACGTACTCCTGAAAAATAAGAGCTAAGACCTCATGTATTCACTTCCAAGTTGTCATCTGAGCTCTCACATTAACTCTTTCCTTCTGGAAAAGATCTACAGCCTGTTTTCCACTGATAATCTGTGTTAATATTCTGCTTCTGAAAAAGCAGCACGTATTTCTCCACTGGCAGTCTCCATTTGGCAGAGATGTCATGAAGATTGCTTAATGCTGCTAGCACAGTGAGCAAGGAAATGGCATTTAAGTGCTAGCAGTTCTGAGGGGTTTTCAGAGTTAGTTTTAAAAGAACAAAATCAATCTTTCTCGCACGTACACCCACACACACTCTCTGCAACTGTTGTATGAATTGAAGCATAATTGGAAAGCAGATCCAACACTAAAGGCCAGGCTGGCAAATACCACGTTGTATCAAGCTGAGCTGTATCAAAAAACCTGTTCAAAGAGTAAAAGGTCTGAATTTTGTTTAAAGTATCATTTATTTTCCTTCCTTGAAACTTTGCATTATGATGCACAAAAAGCAAGAAGGAGCTACCAATCACACTGCTTGCTGAATTCAAATGAGTTAATTTTATTGCCACTCTATGGGAAATATCCCACTCAGCACAGAAGGGCACTGATGAGCTCCCAAAAAGCATGGAGGTCATCAGCTCACAGAACTGGAACAGGCTCATTATTTTGTGGTACCAGAGATCTCTCAGTGTCCAAGATGCCCCTGGCACGGCTGCTGGTTTTATTTGGGTGAGCTGGGCATTGTCCCCCTCCCTGTTTCTGATACTTGCCAGGCAGCTGCAGACAGACACATGACTGTCACAGCCATCGACTGCACTCCATTGCCTCCATCCACAGGATGAAGGCTGGAAATTTGTCAAGTTGCAGCCCTTGAAGAGGGCAGGTTTCTGTTCCTCCTCACAATAAGGTCATTCTCTCATAACCATCTTTACAGACAGAAAAATCATATTCTATAAAACTTCTTTTCATCTGTAACATGTAACACAGACAGTACTTTGTAGCCTTTCCAATAAAAATAACTAGGACACACTAACAGCAATTCTGCAGTTCCTCTGTTTATTCCACTAATAACTTAAGCTCCTGAACACTTCTACAACCAACACAGAAACCTGCATCCACACTGACTGTTTCAACTTCAGGCTCAGAAGCTGCTGGGAAAGATCCAGTGCTCCTACCCAGAGCTCTGAATTCCCACTCGCCTGTTGGAGATGTTAGGCTATAGCCAAACCTTTATTTTTATATTGTTCATTGCTTGGATTTTATTTGGCATGGATGTTTAATACAACCCTGAGCTGCTGCTGGCTTCCAGATGTAGGGCTGTCTCTAAAACTTATACTGATGGGGCTGTCATTTAAGGAATTCACCAGAACCAACTTACACTTACATGTCTACTGTGTCAAAGCTAAAGCATTAACCTTACTACTCCTATTTTTAAAAGCCATCTTAAAGCAACAGGATTATTTTAACACTTGTTATTCCTCTATTTTTTTCTAAACAAACATTTTCTTTGGTTTTTGTATTTCTGAAAAGGCACATTTCCTACCTTACCGTGCTGTGGGGCATAATTATTTCATCAATCTGATGCATATAGTAAAGTTATCTCCAATTTGAGCTCCACACCAAGGAAAAAGGAAATAGATTATGGTATGTCAGTAATGGAAAACAACTTTGGGGAAGCAGAATCCACCCTTGCCCCAACCTGAAACCACTGTCCACACATTTTGCATCACACCCACCTTGTCCTCCAGGGTTTAAAGTCAGCTAAAATGGCTGGTTAAATCTCTTTATTATGTCCTTGTGCTCCCCAGCCCTGCCAGGTCCAATGAACAAGGAGTGTTAATCCAACTGGGTAATCTGAAATGGGACAAAGGAAAGCCAATATCCCATGGAATGACTGCCCATGTTTAGTGAGAAGTCAGCAGGGTCAGAGGCTCAGGAGAGCAAATAAGAAAAAAAAAAAGGTGATTTTTGGAAAGTTTTACAAAATTAGGAGCCATAACAACCTTCCATCTTCACAGAAACTTTCTAGCATTGCCTACCTAACACTTTGTTTGCTCTTAAATCCTTCTGATGATAGGAAAACTCAATCTGCTTCATAAAGCAACTCCTACGTTCAGTCTGCAACACTTCAGTACTAAAAAAGGGTTAATTCAGTAGAACTGTATTGATGGAACTAAAATATATTATCTGAGAACAGTATTCTTCCTCCTTCTACACCTCCAGGGAATTAGTACAACCAACACTGTCATTTTCCATACAAACACTGTGTGGATTGAAAAACTTACCACCATGCAGCATGTTTAAAATAATTAGGTAATGCAAAAATATTAAATGAATAAGCCAACAAGGGAGGAGCTGCTGTTTTATGTGAAAACCAGCAAACACAGAGCAATTTTTGGTGCGTGTTGCTGCGCAACGATCAAACTCAAGACGTGGCAACGAAGAAAGTGCTGCAAGATGCTTGTGCTGTCATTTATAAAGACAACACTCACCCTGTCTTCCCCTCCCTGCCATCTTCAATCTTATACTCACTTCCTTCTCCCAAATTTCTCCCAAATAAATGCTGAAAAATACTACAACCTCAGCACACCAGTACTCTGGCAGGCTTTACCCTGCAGCATGTTTCTGTTTTTTCCAGAGATCGCTCTTGGAAGCAAGGATGGAGAACGGGCTGCAACAACCCACCCCACAACACACTGATTTAATTTATACAGTATTTTGTGCCCTGGGGAAAAAAAATGAGCTACAACATTTATCTTTGAGCCATTTCCTCCACTCATCTTCAAGTCCTGAAGCTCTGTAAGTTTTATAAGGACTAGCAGCTCCTGCACGCAGAGCCAAAACGCTCATTTCACAAATTCACCCATTCTGAACATTGACATTTAAGTGTCTGTAAAGTGTATTTTTGACAAAATAGTTAACAGATGAGATCTCCACACAGCTACAGTGGGTTTATTAGTTCTGCCAAGGCTGAATTTTAGAAGCATTAGCAAACTTTAGTACTTGCCTCCTTTCTTCAATTAGCTTTTCTTCTTATCAGTGGCATTTCTCTGAACTTACAAAAGCAGAAAGCCATCCCAAACACCAAAAAAAACCCAACTCCTAATAACAATTTAAAAAAACCCATATGGATGTACTCACACACATTATTTTCTCTATGCACAAAAATAAACAAAAGTATAAATAAGCCTGTGCATAAACATCCTGGTTCAACCTGGTTTCAGCAGCATGAGAAAACCCGGTCGCTGCAGAGCGAGCAGGCTCAGGGGGCAGGCAGGGACAGGCAGAGCCTGGGGCTCCCTCCCTGCCTGCCACTGGGTTATACTGGGTTAGACTAGGCCAGGCTGGAGCAATGCTGCTGTCCTCAAGTGTTTGCAGAGGAAAAACTGTCTCAGGTAATTAGTGGGAAGTCACTTGCTGGGAAGGAGCAGGGAAAGGAAAAGATGTTCTGGTCCTTCAAGTCATTAATTGATTTTCTTTCTTTCTGCTCATTCATCCTCATGACTTTAGGACAGAAGTTGCTGCTCTGACAGTCTAATGTGATTTTTACATAAGCAAAGTGCATCCCTCCATGCCTCTTTTAAAGATGGGATGTCTTCTCCTACAGGAGATCTCAAGAGATGAAGGATTAGAACAAATACTGCTAAGGAATTCCTCGGTAAGATAAGAGTCAACTTTCCATTTCTGATGCTCCACCTGTATGGAATTGAAACTTTTAGCTCTCTGTTGAGAGCAAACTTTCTCTGGCAAACTGTCATACTTCTCATGTCTATCTAATGAACTCCAAATGCTTTTGAAACCCTTTGCAGCATTGATTCTAAGAGACACCAAAAAACAATGGCAACGTTTCAGTCATGGTCTTACTGATTCATTTAAGAACAAAACAATCTCACTCTTACTATTTATTCCTGTTCCTCCCTCCATGAATCACTTCACCTTTTTAGTTGCAGTACAGGGAAATGCATGGAACTAACAGGTGACCTTCCTTTCTAGGCTAAGACCAGTAACATCCCTTGTCTCGAGGTGATAAAATCCAAACTGTTAATTATGTCCCTTTAACCAAATAGCTTTATATTAACAATTCTCCGTCATTATTTATCTTGCCATCATTTCCTTTAGCATCTACACACTTTTATCACACTTCTTTCCAAATAATTCAAGTATACATTTACAGCAGTAACTGAGCTCTGTTTTCCCTACCTTCTACTTCTGCTGTAATTTCCCTCACAAATTAGGATTTGCATGAAAACGGTTTCATTGTGAGAACCACGGTGACTGTCACTCCCACGTGAGGGCAAGAATTACTTTCCAGCTACAAAGTAATTTTAATCAGCTGTTGCAGTCTGCCGTGAACAATGTCAGCTATTTTCTTTAGATAATATCTCATTTTATCTAATTTTGATGTAAGGAACTATTAGTGGTATGGCAAACTCATAAAAAAAAAGCTTTTCAGTCCAGGACTAGCTTTAACTTCTTTCTAAACTGATGGGTGGTAACTCATTTTTGGGTTATGCTTCTCTGCAATCAATCAGCTCTTGCTTTCTCTTTTTAGAAACACAATAAAAAGTTTTCTCCATGCCTTTTAAAGACATCATCTTTGCACTCTGCCAAAGATCTGGGAGTGAAAATACTGGTATTCAGCCACTGCCATTCCAGGGAAAGGAAACGGAGATCTACATTTAGGTTTC